GATATTGTGGAATGAGTCAACACACCTGAGGACAGGAATATAAGAGCTAAAACCAAAGCGCGTACTCTCCGAACGCACGCCTACAGTCACCACCAAGATGACAGAGGCCCTCAGATGTGTGAGCGACAGAGCACAGTGGGGGCGGGGGGGAGGAACAGCAGAGCTCGGGGGCCTTCAGGAGCCTCAGAGGAGGCCCCTACCTTGACTTTCATGTTCAGCTGCATTGCCGAGCATCCCTCAGAGCTCTGCCTAATGAATGCCAGCCGCTCACATCACAGGGTCAGGCCTTCTATCCCGGGGTGGGAGATCTAACCACATTTGCACTTTCTTTCCGCAGAGATACTCTGATATATGCGTAGTTCTAGGGCCGTAAGAAATCTGAAATGCCAATCATTCTCTTAAAAACCAATCTGCCTACAGAGCACAGGACAGTGGGTACAGCAAGGGAGTGGGGGGCTCAGGGGCGAGCGGTGTGCTCGGAGGTCACACTTCCTGTCCGTGTCATGGGCAACTGTTCTGTGCCTCCACTGCCTCGCTGGAAGTTGAGATCACACCACAGCCTGCATCATGGTGCCCTGGGGCCTCCGTGAGTCGGGCCTGGGAACGGTGCGGTCATGGCAGTGCTGCCCAGGTGCAGCCTGGCACACAATGCCATGCAGGCAAAGGGTCAAGATTTCACAGCTCTCTGTGTCCACGCTGAGCCCAGCCAGCCCTCCCACCCAAATCAGAATTGCAATAAGGGGCAGAAATTAATCTGAATGTTGTGATAATCTCCTGTTGATTCCTGTGCCCAATGAGGTTGGAGAACTGTCGGCCCAACAAAACACCTGTAAGGAAGACCCTCCACGGCAGAGGCAGGACGAGCAGAACCTTTCCCTGCTTTCACAGAGACACCCCAACTTTCCACCTCTCATCAGTCTCCATCACCAGAGCGGAGAGAGAGAGGAGGGAGAAGGCAGCAGACAGGACGCACGGCTCACGGTCCTTCACCCCAGGTGAGGTTCAGGTGCTTTTGGTGTGACCATGAGTCTCACCACTAACAACCCATTGACACTCCATTGACTACAGATGGGACAGGAGTGTGGGGGCCCTGAAATGGGGACAGGCCAATACCCCCATGTTGTTGGGGAGATGCTAGAACATGCCCAAGAGAACAGGACAGAGGAAAAAGGAAGCGAGTGTGGGCAGAGGCCCGGTCTCTGCAAGTGGGCTGTCACGAGGAGAGACTCCCGGGCTCAGCTACAGCCGCTGAGCAGAGGCCGGGCCTGTGGGCACTGCCCTTGGCCTCAGGTTCCACGCAGACCCCCATACTGATTAGTCCAGGGCTGGGGGAGCCCGGCTTCCTTCGGGGCCTGAGGGATTGGGGTCCTAGGCTGGTGCCTGAAGGGGAAGCAAAGGCCGGAAGGAACCGACCAGGCCCTGCTTCTCTGCTGATGGGACCGGGGATGGAGGGGCAAGGGAGTCCTCTGGGGGCGCCCAGGGCTCCGTGTCTGGGTGCTGGGTGAAGGCGGGGACTCCAGACAGGCCAGCTGGGCGAGGATGGAGGGGAGGGCTCCCAGCTAAGTCGGACATGTGGACAAGGAGGTGCATGCCCTCAGGGGGGCCCTCCGGTCCCCTCTCTCCTTCCTCCTACGGGAGGACCTACGCCACCTGTGACGCAGCAGGTGCTCCGGTGCAGGGCAGCAGTGGGTGGCGCCAGCGTCTGCTGCTCCCCTCGGCCGCTCTGCCCCTACGCGATGCCCTGAAGACTAATCACAGCCTCTCCGGGTCCCAGTTACTCTGCAAAGGAGCCTCAGAGGCCCTGGGGGTCGCACTTGCCTGATCAAGGAGGCAAGTAGGACACAGGCAGAGTGAAGGAACTCAGGGAGATCTGCCGATGGCAGCTGTCTCACGGGGAGCGAGTCACCTCCACACTGTCACAGCCGAGGGCTCCTCCTTCCTTCACCTCGGGGTCCGCTGCTTAGGAAACAGCCAACGGTGGCTTTCTGCTGCCCCAACAGCCCTGCCTCTTAACAACAGCTCAGCCAGGTGACAACACACACAGAGGGCATCTTGACAGATGGTGGCCAAGGTCCCTCATCGTCACCCAAACCTCTTGTCCCTGGGCTCGGGGCCGCCCCCACTGCCCTAACTCACAGCACCGGGGGTGGGGCCCTGTCCCTTGCTCCAGCCTCTTCCCACTCTGGGCACAGACACTAATGAGCGGAGGATGGATGGGAAAGGCAGTGGGGATGCTGAGGGAAAATAAATTATTCAGACGATCACAGGAACAAAATGCTCCGAGAGTCTGAGTCACGTTGGCTTCCCCTGGCAAACTGGACACCAACACCCTTTGCAAAGAAAGGGCTTTTCGAAGTAGCACCCAGCACACCGCCTCTGGGCACCTGCTGCTCCAGGACTTGGGGTCCTGCCGAACGGCCTCGCCATGCCCATCTCCGGGCCTTGCAGCTGGGACACGATGGCCAAGCGGGGCTGGGGCCGGTGACGGGCGAGGCACACACCGTGTCACAGCACGGGGGGGTCCAGCGTGCTCCCACACAACAGAGCGCAGGGACACGAAGGGTCCTGTTCAGCCCCGTCCCGATCCGACTCAAGCCAGGGGACCCTGTCACGGTCTGAATCACAGAATCATCCGATAATGGGGCTCTTGTACTTGAAAGTCCGCTTCGAGGAGAGTGCTAGGCAGGGACAGCCAACGTCGCCTTGAAGACCGAGGTCAAAGATCGCGTGTCCGCTGGGCTGGAGCTCCTGGCTGGAGGACGGGGGAAGAAAATCCACCGACCAAACAACCAGGAGGATGTTTCCTGAGGCAAGCAGTGAGACAATGTGCGCCGGAGCCCGGGAAAGCCCTGCGTCCAAGGGAACTGAGCGAGCCCTGGCTGGTTTGGCTCAGTGGTTGGAGCGTCGGCCTGTGGTACAGAGAGACCCGGGTTCGGTTCCCACTAAGGGCACGTACCTCGGTTGCGGTTTGTCCCCGGCCCTGGTTGGTCGTGCGGGTGGCAGCCACTCGGTGTGTCCCTTTCACGTCGATGTTTCTCTCTCTCTCTCTTCCTCTCTCTCCCTCCCACTCTATCTGAACAAAAAAAAAACAAAAAGGGGAACTGAGCGAGTCAGAAGCAAATCCTGGGGAGCTTCCTGGAGAAGGAAAGAGACTGGAAATGTGCGTTGGTAGAAAACAGAACTGCAGATAAAGGACAGGATGGCATGCGAGAGGGGCCCCGGGGGGACCGGAGTGGGTGTAAAGAATGATACGGTGATTAACTATTCAATGAGGGGCCCTGGAAGGAATCGTGAGGGCACAGAATTCCAAAGGGCTCTCCTGGAGCCGCCCGCATGTGCGATCACCGAGAGCTTTCCGAACACTCGGGCCCTGGACCCCACCCTCGCCTGCAGAGAAATACGTGTAGGGGTCAGGCAGCTATGGGAACCCCGACCTCGCCTCGCCTCCCGTTACAAAGCAGGAAACTGAGGCAGAGGAATAAGGCTGGTAAAGCAGGAAAGGCAAACGGGAGGAACGTTCTAGAGCCCGATTCGGAAAGCCAGGCCCGGCGTGATGCGGGAAGGCTGGTCCACAACAGGCAGAAGAGAATCCACTGAGTGTCGGGACCGGCATCCCAGTGGGCAGGGTCCAGAGCGGGGTTGCAGAGCCTCCTGACCCCACTCAGCCTGAAGGTAGGGGCTGGGCCAGAGCCCCCCGAGAATCTCCCTCTGGCTTTCAACTCCTGGCCTGCATCCTCTGCAGACACGGCCTGTCCTGTCCCTGCGTCACCGGACAGATGCCAGCCCGGCGGAGCCCAGGGGTGCAGAGTTGAAGCCCAGGAGAGCTGCAGACCCGGCGGCACAGTGTTCTTCCCATCTCTCCGCGGGAGCGTGTTCTTTCCTTTATGGCTCCGGCGGGAACTACTTGAGTTACACACAAAAGCGGGGTTCGTATCTTGGAAACATTGAAAATCAGAACTGCCACTTGCTTCATATTTTTTCTTTCTTATGCATCCAGTTGAAAAGCATAGAAGCCACCAGCCAATCTGACCGCGAAGCAGGGTCGCACGTGCCACTGGCGAGGAGCGCCAGGGGAGGCGCTAGAGGGGGTGCAGATGGAGGGCCAGCTGGCCAAAGGGATGCACTACAGGCTAGGAGCGTGCAGGGCCTCCGAGGGGGCCACCCAGAGCAGGTCACCTCACTGCTCTGTCTCTGCCCAGCAGAGAGGGTGACGGTGATTAACAAGGTCACTCCGTGAGCAACGAGACCTCAACTGGCCATGCGCTGGCAAGCCTGCCTTTACCCAACTCATAACCTTGCATCCTTTAAGACTGTACTAAGTCTGCACGGCTGGTGTGGTTCAGGGGACTGAGTGTCGTCCCACGGACTAAGAGGTCTCAGTTAGATTCCCGGTCAGGGCACATGCCCAGGTTGCGGGCTGGATCCCCATTAGGGAGTGTGCAGGAGGCAGCCAATTGATGTTTCTCTCTCTTTCTCCCTTCCTCTCTCTCTAAAAAATCAATAAAAACATATTAAAAAAAGAAAAAGACTCGACTGAATCGGAGGATAGACACCAAGACAAAGGAGAAAGGGCGCGCATCCCTGATGGTTTGCGAAGACCTTCTGCAGACAAGGGAGGGCTGTTGCGAAGCAGGATCTCTCCGAAAATGCTCGACCAGGACATCCTGCAGGACAGCTGTGTTGACGCAGGAGACAGGGTGTCCCCCAATTCAGAACCGCAGGAGAAACAACAGACCCTCCCGTCTGACGATTAAGGGACTGCAGCTCATAGACAGGTGGACTGATTTGTCAGGGGTGTTTGGGGATGGCACCCAGGAACAGCACATATTCTGGCTCTCTGCTCTGAATTGGGACTGTGTGTGTGTGTGTGTGTGTGTGTGTGTGTGTGCACGCATGCCAGCTGCTCAGATGCAAACCTTTGTTCACCAGCAGAAGATGCACCGTGCAGAGAGAGAGAAATTAAATAAATGAAAAATGTTGAACAACCCTCTAACTCTCACCTTCCTCAGGACTATGCCATGTCTTGGATGTGGGGACTGGCAGAAGGGGAAGTGTGTCTCTCTTGTCTGAGTTCAATCAGCTCTGTTTTCTTTGGCCCCATCTAGAAAACAATCAAACGTCACACGAGGCACTTATGAGTTGTGGAGGAAGCACAGCGGGTCCTCGAAAGACATGGTTTCATTACAGTGTTGATGACACACCACTGGGACTTCACTCTCGTTTGTATCAATGAACCTGTGGGAAAATTGATTTCCTGGCACATCGGGTCCCTTAAAGTCACAGGACCTGCGGACGACCTAGGCGAGGACTTACTACCTGAGTCCTTGGCCGGCACAGCTGTAAAGATCAAGCAGCCACACTCTTCTTCTTCGTCTCGGTCACTGGAAAACCCCGGGATGGAGGAAGAGCACTGGTTTCAGAACCCACAACCTAAAGATCTGCTCCAGGTTCTGCCCAAATACGCCCTGTGGCCTCGGCCTCCAGGTTCAAGCACCCTCATTTCCAGGTGTGATGTCCGATTCTAGGGCTGCGTGATCACATGACTCTCCCCTTCCGTGGATGTAAGACAAACCCAAAGAGCACAGATGGGCAAACCGCCAGCCACTCGGCCGCTCTGCCCACTTCCCAGAGCAGCCCACCGTCGGCCGCCCGCAGGGCACCAGGTGCCAGTACAGAGCAACACCACGCTCCCCAACAACGCTGGCCGAGGGACCCCAGACCCCTTCCTGGACTGGGTTTTGGTGTGTTTCACCAATTTTTTTCCCTTGAATAAAATGTCCCTTGGCCCTGGCCGGTTTGGCTCAGCGGTTAGAGCGTCGGCCTGCGGTCCTGAGAGACCCGGGTTCGGTTCCCGCTAAGGGCGCGTACCTCGGCTGCAGTTTGTCCCCGGCCCTGGTCGGTTGTGCGGGTGGCAGCCACTCGATGTGTTCCTTTCACATCGATGTTTCTCTCTCTCTCTGTTCCTCTCTCTCCCTCCCACTCTACCTGAACAAAAAATGGAAAAATGTCCTCGGGTGAGGATAAAAAAAAAAAAAAAAAAAAAATGTCCCTTGGTGTTTTAAGCTAAGAAAGGAAAGTCTGAAAACCTGAGGGCGGGCAAATTAAGAAGTGGCTCCCAGCTGCCGGATTCTTTGTGTGGCACTGCTGGGTGCCGCTGTCTCCACGGTCGGGGCCTGTCCCTGTCCCTGCCCCTGTCCCTGTCCCTGTCCCAGGCCCAGCACCTGCCTCGCTTTCCGAGGCTCAGAGGGAACTGCCTTCCTGAAGACACTGTGCTGCTCCTGGGGTCCTCTCTCCTGGGCTTTGATGCTGCTGCCACATCAAACTTTATTTTGCCCTGTTGTGACAACCCTGGAGTGGCGGAGGAGCTCACTTTAACAGAGGTGTCAGCACACAGTGTAGCTCTGAGCCATAATATCACCTCCCCGGGGAGACCACTGAGGCGGCCTCCCATGTGCGGAGCACAGTAACTACTACGTACAGTGCGGAAGTTGCCGGCTACCGATCCTAAGACAGGCTCCTGGTGGGGATGGAGAAGCACGTACTGCATGGTACATACAGAGGGCCTGGGAGGGAGCCCCCTGCGTGGTTCAGGGAGCCTGGGAGGGAGCCTCCTGCGTGGTACATACAGCGAGCCTGGGAGGGAGCCCCCTGCGTGGTACATACAGAGGGCCTGGGAGGGAGCCCCCTGCGTGGTACATACAGAGGGCCTGGGAGGGAGCCCCCTGCGTGGTGCAGGGAGCCTGGGAGGGAGCCCCCTGCGTGGTACATACAGAGGGCCTGGGAGGGAGCCCCCTGCGTGGTACATACAGCGAGCCTGGGAGGGAGCCCCCTGCGTGGTGCAGGGAGCCTGGGAGGGAGCCCCCTGCGTGGTACATACAGCGAGCCTGGGAGGGAGCCCCCTGCATGGTGCAGGGAGCCTGGGAGGGAGCCCCCTGCGTGGTACATACAGGGAGCCTGGGAGGGAGCCCCCTGCGTGGTACATACAGAGGGCCTGGGAGGGAGCCCCTGCGTGGTGCAGCGAGCCCATCTGGAGATCGAAACCCAGCACATCTGCTCAGCACAGTCTGGATGTGGGGCGATGGGGGGATTTCTCAGGAAGAGGAGGCAATTGGGGGATAGAGGAAAAAGGAAGAGCTGGGTCTCACTGTACCATTCATGCCTCCTAGAATTTAGGGCAAAACAGGCTGGGAGACACCATACTGGCAAGACACCATTTTTCTTACGCTTGAGTCACACAGCTGCTGTTCCCTCCATGTGCTTTGCTAAATTCATGCCAAGCCCACATCCCAGTGATCTCTGCCCAAGCTGTAGGCTCAGAGGGCAAGTCCTGTGCCGCGGAAGCACATCCCCTTGTTTTAATGAGGGCGGAATGGAGACCTGGCCAAGGGGCCGTGGGCCACAAGACCAGTGAGCCCAGCCTCCTGCTCAGGGCACAGCGGCTCCTGGCAGGCCGAGAAAGAAGATGAATAAGACCTCTTTCTGCAGCTCACCCGGGATAACACAGCGCAGGCTGTGTGGTGGCCAGAGCGAACCTGAACACAGGTGAGGTATCGGTTAGACCGAAGAGCCCAGGCAGTGAACATCTGTCGTTTTTATGGCCGCCCAACAGCTACATCACCTTCCTACACTGGTGCGGCGTCCTCTGCGGAATCGCCTCTCCCTCTAGCGCAGTCCAGGTGGGAGGCTAACTCCAGGTGCCTGTCCTCCCACTGGGCAGGCCACACGGATGCCTGGTGATCCCCGGCAGACTCGCCACCTGGTGCCACCAGCAGGGCAGCCGCCCAAGCTCAGCTGCAGGACTCTCTCCATCCTCAGGAGTGATTCAGGGACTAGAGAAAGAGGGGCAGTGATCTAATGCCAGGCATTCTGTAGCGCCAAGTCCTATTCTGTGGGCACACCTGTCCCCTCTCCAAAGCTCCTTTCTTAAGGGGGCCAGAACTGATTTCCAAGAACCCTAACTTGTATGCTCTCACACTGCCACCTGGCAGCGAACGCCCAGGAAGGCCATGGGAAAGGAGAGGCCCCGACAGAAGAACGGGGACAGGACCAGTGGGCGTGGTAAGCCGAGGCGAAACCACAGAATCCGGGCTGGAGAGCAGCTGACAGCCCACTTGCTTGGCTCCCCCGTGTTGTGCGCACAGTGAAGGCCTGGGGAGAGCCGCAGGGCTGTCTGAGTCCAGGGAGCAGCCTGCCGGCCCGCGCCGCTCAGCAGCAGCCCCGTTAGCTGCCAGCCCCTTTCTAGGGCATGATGCTGGTTCTAAAACTGTCAGCCAATGGGAGCAAAGGATGTCAAGACTGAACATGTTTTCCTCGGGTCGGTTTTCTCCAGTCAGCACATATTGTTTCTTGTTGCTTTGTTGGCCTCCACTCAATTCCCTCGTCGCTCTTCAGAACCTCCAAGAAAAATGACCCCGGGATAAGTCACGGTCCAGCAATGATGGAGTGGCTGTAGTCCCGCGGCATCTGGTTCCGATTCTCAGCCCCGGATAATGAGCCCACACACTCGGGGAGACTGTCTCTCCCCACCCGCTTCCAGCTCAGTGGCTGTGACCCTTCCTAATGTCACCTCCCCTCCGTGCTCGGAAGCGTCAGCTTGCTGCCACCACAGTCCAACCCCTGTTGGATAAGGCGTTCCAAGCCCCGCCCAGGGGCCCTCCCAGGACGGAGGTCAAAGGGAACAGCGAGTCCTATACGGGGTTCAGGCACGCCTGTGAGATTCACTGAGCCTGAACCATTCCAGATAAACACAGAGAAAGGAAGGGGAAGGGAAGCCAGATCATCTGTATATCTGTTCCGTGGAGAATTTAGAAATGGTTGGCATTTGTTCTCCTTGGCCCCGGTCCGCCTCCAGCTGCTAGGCAGCCCCCGCCCCTCCCCCCAGCTGGCAGTACATCTGGATGGACAGGTAGCACCATCTACACACACACATCCACACTGGACCCTCTGCCCGGGACACACCTGAGGGCGGGTTATTTCAGGCCTCCGGGCAGTGCAGTGTGGTGCCCTCGGAGTCCACTGCCCTCACCGAATTCCCCTGATTTGGGGCCTTCCACCGCCCAATCCCTCTTCCTTTGAACTCCGGGGGAACTAGAATCATTAGGCCATTTCCAAACCCACACCCCTTGAAAGCACTTGCTAATTCCTTTTCTCAATAAGGTTCATAGAACACATTTAAATATTTTTTTTATCTCAGATACAAATGTCTCTATTATATAGAAGACCATCTGGGCTGCTATAGCTAGCTGGCTATGTTGTTATCAACTCCTTTTTTTAGGGTTTGTGAATCAGTTGCCAATAAGGAGAGGGACAAAAAAAAAGGAAGTCATCTCCAAGATTCTGCTGGCCTCCCCTGCATTCCTCCCCACAGGAGAGCTGTATTCCACGCAGAAATGGACCATGTGAACACAGACGCAGAAGAGACACTTAAGACCGATGCTCTGGAAACGCAGCCCACGTTCGAGGCCTTGGGGGAGGGAGGTGGTGTCAGCTAACTCCCCAGCCCTTGGCCCTTCAACTAGGTAACGGCACAGCCTCCTGGCAGAGCTAGGGTACATGCGAAGGAGAGGAATAAAAGGAGGTCAAAAGCAAGAGAGAAAGAAGGGAAGAAGACAGGAGAATGAGAAAGCCCCTCAAGGCCTGGGATTTTCTCGGGCCAGGGACTCCCCAACAACCACAGATTCCTGAACCAGCCAGCCAGCAAGAGCACCTGCTGGGCAGGGGTGGGGAGCTGAGCTCTGTGCAGCGGGCGGCCCAAACTTTCAAAGAATTTAAATGGAAAAGCTGAGAAGTGGAGAGAGGGGGACACAGTGTGAATTCACAATGGCCTGGCCTCCAGTTATTCCTCCCCCTAGGAGGGAAGGGGTGCAGAGAAAGGAAGTCAGCATGTCGTCCCTGGAACGTGCCTGGAGCACGCATTGCGCTTTGTGCAAAGGACCAGAAGAAAGAGCTCCATCCTGGCACACCACGCTGCAGGAACTGACCCAACCAGGGGCAGCTTCCAGTATCCGTGACTCTCAAGGGCAGACCAAGGGCAGAACGTGCAAACAGGGTTGGGGCTCGGCCCCGAGCCTCCGGGTGGTCAGAAACAATGGTTGGGTAAACGCATGTAGCTAACTGCTCCCTCTAAGGCCTTCAGCCCAAACCGTGTTGACTGCAAAGGGACATGCAGGCATTCCCTGCCTCCCACACCCACCCACCTCCCAACCTAACCCAGGAGGACAGATAAAAGCAAATTTCATCATCCCAAAATTCTGGCCGGGAAAGTGTAAAATTTTCATTGCTATGCAATATTTTTTTGTTGTGGTGGTAATTGGGTGTGTGTATGCGAGATTACAATTTTTACAAAGATGGTTTGATTTTTCCACCATTTTTGTGACTCAAGGCAGCTTAAAGAAACTAGAAGATAAAGTCATTCTCCAAACTGTGCCCCAGCTAGCTGGCAGCCTGCTTCCTTCCCACACCCCAGCAGTCCACAGCCTAGGGGCAAAAACGAACCCCAGAGTCCTGGTCAGGTGGCTCAGCTAGTTGGAGCTTCGTGGATTCCCGATCGGGGGGCACACACCCAGGCTACGAGTTGGATCCCCTGTTGGGGCATGTATGGGAGGCAACGATAGATGTTTCTCTCTCACATCAATGTTTCTCTCTTTCTCTCCCCTTTCCTCTCTCTCTAAAATCAATAAAAATATATCCTCAAGTGAGGATTTTTTTTTAAATTAAATTGAGAGGCTACAGCTCCTCTGTGGCCCAGGTAAAGCTGCCTGGTCCCTCTCCCTGGCCGCCACCAAAGGAGGTGCTGGGATTTGACCTCCCCTTGATTTGAGAGCAGAAATACAAATAAGGTTTTAATGAACAAAAAATAAAATTATTTTTGCATGGCTCTTTTGTTCCGAATGTCAGATGCCTTTCTCTGTTCTCACACTCCCAGAACATTCTCAGGCCTAAAATCTCGGACACTCTGTCTCATCCTGATGCAATCACTTGGAAGAAATGAGTCTGGTCATAGGATAGTCTCCCTGGAAAAGCCCAAGAGTTATTTCGGGTAAAATCTGTTTCAGGAGCATTTATAACTTCTGACAACTAAGACCCAAAGCTGAGACTTGAAGAAAGATCATATCACTATTTTATTCACCTAAAGCACTTGAAGATTCCAGAGAAATGGAGCCGAACAGATCAGATATTTAAGCAAACGAGTAAACCCAGGATGGGGCTGTGGGTCCACCCTACAGGAGGGCAGAGAGGAACCGACAGGGGCCCAGAGGGCCGAGAAGGGGCAGGAAGCCCCTGCAGGAAGACTGAGGACCACGAGTTCACGCTTGTGAAACCAGAGGAGCCACAAAAATCAGACACAATTATATTCGTATTAAAACCGCATTTCCACTTTGGGGTATACACACACAAAAGAACGAAGAACAGGGTATCAGGGATATTTGCACACCCGTGTTCACAGCAGCACTATTCACAGTAACACTCAAAAGGTGTGAACAACTGCCCTGGCCAGCTTTGCTCAGTGGTTAGAGCATCGGCCCACGGACCAATGAGTCTCAGGTT